GGATGGATGAGTTGGGCGTCGGCACGCCCTCAGCGCCTGGTGGGCTTGTCTGGGTTGGAACTTTGGGCTTTACCTTGAAAGCTCCAGGGGCCTCTCAGAGCACGAGAATCAGAACCGAGACGCAGCCTAGTTCCAGGCTGGGAGAGAGTTCCTGGAACCTGCGGCATGGGGAGGACAGGCCGAGATCCCGCGTCCAGGAGTGGAGGCCCAGAGCTGAGGCTGGCAGGAGCCAGGGTTTCCACTCAGGAGATACTAAGAAGGAAGAATCTGCAGGTCCTGGTAATGTGACTGGTTGACTAAATGTCCAGGGTTGAGAGAGAAAAAAGAAGGAAAAGATTGGAAAATTTTGGTGTCTGAAGACTGAATGGACAGTACGTTTGCCAGATGCGTTCAGCACCTGTCTGGTAAAGAGCATCTCAAGGCCAACCAGCAAGTGGCTTATGATCCCCCGTTATCTGCTTGTGACATGTCAACAGCAGCCTGGCTTAAGCCGCCTGTCTTCTTGATGGCTAATAGTGAATGTGCACTAGTTATGGGCGTAGGCCCAATGACACACAACCAAGAACACACACATGGAATGTATACACACATGTAATGTATACAGTGAGGGAGTCTCTGCAGAAGCCGGCCTCGTTCAGCTGAGTGGCGCGCTGACCCAGTCACTCCCTGCTCCAGTCCACTGTCATATGATCTCTTTCAGCATCGCCTGAGCATTCTTAAGCTCCTATTTCACAACAAAAAAATGTTAAGTAATTATTTTATTGAAAGATTTTTCAAAATAGCCATGCAAGCAAGTAGCCCTATTGTTTAATAAAATAAACCTGATGGAACTCATTTTTGAATCCTTGGGGTTTTGCAAGTCACCATTTTGAAAGTGTTGATATTTCTCCTTGGGACCTGCTACCAAATCAGAACACACGCCTCACAGCCCTAATATTGAAAATTATTTCTTTAACAAAAGGAGATCCATACAGAATTGAGTTGTTTTAATGTAACAGAATTTGTTTGCTAAGAATTTGAAATTGATCTTAAAATGGATTGGCTTGCTCAGTGAGTATGATCGACATCGGTGAGGATTTTAGGTAGATCTCCTCTTGCCCTCTGCCATGAGCCCTCCTGCCCCCCACAAGCTGATCTGCACGAGCGCCAGTCCTTTCTCCATTCTGCCCACTAGAATGCGTGCCCTGCCTCCTCTCCGAGCCATTGAATGGAACCTGCTCCCTCTGGCCACACGATCTCTCCCTACTGCATCTCCAGCCTCTCCTAGTCACTAACTACCCTTGGCATGAAGGATGCCCACATCTGTTCCACCTGTCAGGCTTGAGGTACCTCCGTCAGCTCTTCTGTTCACAGCCCATTTCCTGGAACAGGAGTTTCTACTCTCGGTGTAAATCTTGTCACCTCTGATTGGTTCTTCTGCCTGTAAGCTTCTTACCTTGAAATCATTCTTACCATAGTTATCTCTATTCACCAAATTCAGAGGGCACTTGATCTGCAGCAGAGAGCTTGGCTTTTCCCTGGAGCTGGGAAGCCACTGGAGGGTTTTGGACAGCTGAGGGGCAGGATGTAGCTTCTTTTTTTTCCAGGTTTGCAAGCAGTGAGACCAACTAGAAAGCTGGGGAACAGTGCTGTGATGTCACTGTGGCTGGGTCTAAGACAGTAGGGCCAGGTGGTGAGAAGGGGTCAGCTCTGGTGGTGATTTGGAGGTAGGGCTGGTGGGACTTGCAGGCAGAGCCTGAGTGTGAGAGGAAAGGAGTCAAGGGCGACACCGAGCTTTTGAAGGCACAAATGGGAGGAAACCAAACGGATGCTCTTCTTTCACGTTGGGCCACCATACAGCAAAAAAAGTCTAAGAGCATCTGGATGTCCCTCGTCCTGCGTCATGGTAGTGGTCGACCTTTAGTAGGAACCAACTAGGAATGAGGAGGAGCAGTCAACGAAGTAGGCAGAGGACCAAGAAAGAGGGATCACTGCAGGAATGACACCACCATCCTTTGGGTCAGAGGCTACGACTGGATCAGGTGAGATAAAGTGTGGGAATTCCTGCCTCAGCTTGACGATGCCTGTGAGCAGGGATGTCACGGAGGTAGGACACGTGAGACCTCGACCGCAGCAGTCTTTCAGGTGTGCCAGAGGCATGGTCTGGTTCAAGAGCAGGGGGAAGATGGAAGGGGGGTGCCAGTCAGGACAGCTTCTGAGGTTGCGGGGGGCAGAGGCTGGAGGTGGGAATGAGGTTGAGAGGGGGGACTTTAAGTGTGACGATTGGTCTGTTTGTGTGCAGGGAGGGAAATCCATGATGTAGGAAAGGGAGGAGACCTTGGGTGGAACAAGGTCCTTGAGAAGGTGCGGGGGCTAGAACCTGGAGCCAGCAGGCCAACCTAGCCAGCAGCACGGAGAGCTCAGGCGTTGTAGCCGGAGCTGAGGCCACTTGCACAGGCAGAGCTGTGGGTAGGTGGGCAGACAGGAGCATGGCGAAGGGCCTGGTCTAGTTGTTTCCAACCTCCAGGAGAAACATGCGGCAGCCTCACAGCTGATGGTGTTATGGGGATCCGGGTGGGAAGAGGAGGTGCGGAATTCTTGCCAAGGACAGTGGGAGACTGAATGACCCAGGGGTCCGTAATCACATGGGAGGGCACCACAGGGATCAGGCAGCTTAGTGGCTGGACCTGAGAGGGATGCTGTCGCTGGAGGCCATGTCCGGCAGGATGCTCTATCCTCCCCTTCTTGCAGCACAGAGTCCGGGGCTGGGCTCAGCCTGGGGTCAATCCCGGATGGAAACTGGGGTTGAAGACAGCGCTGCCTTTGGAATGGCTGCTCTTCCTGCCGTCTACACTCACCCAGCAGGCCGACCTTTGATGGCACTGGTATTTTAGGCATCCAAATGTGTCCTAAGACAGCTGGCAGCCATTCTGTGCAAGCCAATCATTGCCCTTTATGCAAGAGGGGACTTGGGGACCCTCCAGAACCTCAGTCAGCAGAGCCTGGTCTGAACTACACTGGAACCTCTTTGCCCAGAGATTCTAAAAGCTGCCCTTCAGAGGCAGGCAGGTTTCCTTAAAGGGAGAGGGGGTGAGGGAAGGAAGCATCCAGGGAAGCAATGGTTTGGATACTACAAATAGTCTTCAGCTAAACTGCTCACCCTGCCCCTGCTAAGCCTCATAAAGTAGACAAGAAAGGAGATCAGCCGACATCTATAACCTAGATGTGTTGATGCCCACGTCTCCATAAGAGCAATAATAATACTAAGTATTTTATAGAGTAGTTTGGCAGAAAGGCTAGAGTTATAGAATCCAGTAAGTTCTCCCCAGTCTTCAAAGCAGGCAGCAGACCTACAGTGAGAAGCACCCATTCATCTATTTCCCCAAATTTTACCAATCAGAATGTTGGGACAACACAGAGCAGTAGACTCTTCTAGAATCCCGTTTCAGCAACTGGCTTATCCATTGTCATTGTCATTTGACCATGTCCCTGCTTATAATGGAGGTGGGAGGGGGCAGGCACAGAATGCCACAGAGCACCGTGCCTGGCCACACTTACCAGCCCCCACCTGATCTCGGGGCACAGGGTTGGCATGCCCAGCTCCACCAAGGAAAGCTCACTTCCCGGGCATGATGGGAGGAGACAAACCGTGCCTGGGGGTTTCAGCTGCTTCCTGCCCCAGCTGGTCAGAGTAATTAGAGCAGGTATGTGCTTGGGAAAGGCGGGCACCAAGATGACCCTGCTTCCTTGCCAGGGATGCTGGGGCTTATTATAAAACATACACTTGAAACCCCGAGGACAGTGTGAGTCATCCGATCTGCAGTTCCTGAAGGCAGCTCAGACGCCGTGTGGGGAAGTGACGGGGAAGGGCAGGTCAGCCAGAGGAGGGCCTCTCCGTCAAAAGCTGCTGCTGGGCCATCTCTGCCACCCTCTGAGGCTCGTTTTGCCAGTATCCAAGGAGACAGGCATGGAGGTTGGAACACACGTGGCTTTGCGGCATAATAGAAAAGTAGGTTTGAGTCCTGGCTGCAGGACTTGCTAGCTCTGTGGCTTTAATTAATCTCTTGAATGTCCCTTTCCTAAGGGTGGGTGAGAGGATTAGAGGTAATGTAGTGACCCTACGCACTCGCCAGCTGGTAACTGCACCTTCAAGGACTGTGGCCCCTTCAAAGCACAACCAGATCTGACCCTCAACAGAGCAGTTTCGGCCGAGGCCTGCTGCTCGCAGCTGCGTTTGGACGTGGCCCTCCTAGACTCTCCTTGCCCTGGCTCAGCGTCCCATGAGACAGCAAAGTTGGCTTCTTTCTCTTCTGGGTCTCAGAAAGTTCTCGACTTCATCCTAAGGGCCTGGGAGAATCCAACGCCCACCAGCTTCTGCTGTGGAGAGCGCTGCCCAAGGGCACAAGCCCCACCGGTGGGGGACTGGTGATGTCATTTGCCCACACAAAGGACAACTTAGTAACATCACAGTGACTCACTGTGTGACTCTCCAGGCACTTGGGGAGGATGAGCGTAGGGATAGGTGGATGAGGATGTGGAGGGGGTAGACGGGACTGGGGGTGTTTGAATGGGGCAGTGGAACCTCCGTTAGCCAGGAGAGGTGAGAACGCGGAGGTCACTGGTGAGCTAGACTAAAGGCAGGAGACGGGGAAGCAGGAGAGGGAGCTTAGAGAAGGAACAAGGGGAAGGAGAAGGAGAGAGGTCAGAGGCATTGAAAGAGAAAGGGAAAGGCGACCGGGCGGGCAGGACAGGAGTGTCATTCCTTAGGAGTGAAGGTGCGGCCACAGGGAAACCAGTGAAAGAAGCCTAACTCTGCCCAAATCTCCAGAGGGCACAGGGGTCCCAGAAAGTAGGTGTCTGGGAATGTCCTACTTAGTGGGGGACCTTTCTGTGAATTTGATGACATCCACAACGCCTCTGGCTCACAGACCTCCTCCCCTCTCATCAAGAAGAGGCACCCTGGGACCTCAGAGGGCTTATTCTCACAAGCGGATGGATTGTTTGTTCTCAGGGTTCGGGGGGGCCACTCAGAAAGCTTGTTGAATTACGGATTCCTGGGTCTCATCCATCAGACATTCTGAATCAGAATTCCGAGGTGGGTTCTGGAAGACACTCATTTTAACAAGCATCTCAGAGTACATTGATGCAAATGATCTTCATATTATGTAAGAGGAATGCTGTGATTTGGCTGAGGTTTGGCTTCTTTCCACTAAGTGGAATAATGTGACATACTTTACTAGTTTGCAAATCCCTTGAGTGCAGAGACCCTCGTCTTTCTTTTGCCACATTTCCTAGCAACAGCATCTGGCTCAGAGCAGGTTAGATTCAGTGACCTGTGATTCTTAGTCCCTTTCTGTTAGTTCAGACCGGGGCATTAAAGGAACAAGCTTGATTCTAAATCTTTGGGACTGAAGAGACTGGGGTACACAGCACGGGGAGCCTTTTCCATGTTTGCCTTGGCATGTAGCAAGAAATCGAGGTCAGTTTTCAGAATACCAGGGTCCGCCTGTGCTGTTACATTTTATGTGCACCTTTAATGCCTTTCTGCAGAAGAACTGAAGTCTTAATTGAGTGCCTCTCCCACAATGCCAGCCTTTGAGCAGGCCCCAGGTAACGGACCCCAGGCCCATCTTCTGATGTTTTTAGCCAGGTGTGGACTCCGGCAAGCACCCTGCCTATGAATTCTCACTCTCTGTGCTCAGCGTCTCTAGGCCTCAGCATCTTAGGTGCAGACACGAGGCGCGGGGTTGCTCATGATTACATCCTGGGAAGAGCTGGGTTCCTAGCGCGCTCTGTGCTGAGTGTTGACTGTTAGAACAGCACATCTTGGTGCCGCTGGCCCCGTGGAGCAGGGGCAGGTGGGGGCTGTTGGAGAATCTGACCATGGAAACCCCAGATCTCCGACATACAAACCAGGAGGCATTCACAGTCTTCTAAACTACACTCAGGAGAGGGACTGAAGGCTCTGGATGCTATGGTTCCAGACAGCTGGAGGAATTGGGGCCACTGAAGCAGGTCCAGTGGCACCACCCAGGCCTGTCACCTCCCAGAGCAGAGCAGGATACAGGTGGGAAGACTGTACAGACCTTTTTCTTCCCGAAGAAAACGGATCACATCAGGAACCCTTTAGTCCAAAAGAAAGTTTTATTCGTGACAGAAAGCTCCATCGTTTGGCTTTACATAAAATGTTATGATCATGGATCCCTGAGGAGCAATCATTCCTTTTTACCAAAGAAAATTAAAAAGTTGACGCTGGAGTCCCTCACATTGGAAAGATTTGTTAAACACATGCTGAGAGGGAGTTTGATTGAAATTCACTTCTCTTTGAATTTTCTGTCTGTTAAGACACATTGCAAAGAAGGGGTGCTCACTGTTAGAAAAGTCAGGGGTCAAATGTGGGGACACCATGAGTCACATAGGATGGCATCATGCCCTGCTGTACCTTCATTCACTCCACTAAAAGTTTAGACTCTGGCTCACTGTAGGAGGACTGGCTGGTCCGGCGAGGCTTTCGTCCGCCTTCAGGTATCCCATGAAGTGCATGGGAAGTGGGAGATTCTTAAGTCTTCTTCTTCTTTTGGATCTGGGGATTGAATCCAGGGGCACTTTACCACTGAGCTACGTCTCCAGCCCTTTTTATTTTTTATTTTGAGACAGGGTCTTGCTGAGTTTCTCAGGGCCTCGATAATTTGCTGATGCTGGCCTTGAACTTGGGATTCTCCTGTCTTAGCCTCCTGAGCCTCTGGGATTACAGGCATGTGCCACCGTGCCTGGCAAGATTTCTTTAGATTTTTATCATTACAAATAAAAATAAATGGTTTGAGGGGAAAAGGCATGAACCCTGTCATCCTAAACATCTTGCCTTGAGAGTATGCCTATTTGTCCTTGGATTCTTGCTCTAAAGAGTTTAAGTGTCATCTGGCTGGCCAAGGCTTGGTTAACGGACAGGTGTACCCAAGGCCCTAACCTATCACTCTTCTTTGCACCGGGGCCTTTTTCAGTCCTCTCTTGTCTATTGTGGCTTCCCTAAGGGAATCGTACATCTCACCTCCCCAGTGGGACTTTCGACATTTTCAGCAGCCCAAGGTTTTGTTCTGAGCTCATGAATTAGGGTTTGGCCATCTGTCCTTTATACTCCTCCAAGTGTACTTTCCTACCGCTGCCTGTTGTGAGAGATGCCTCCTAGCTGTCCATGTAGGGATGTGGAGGATGTGGCCACTGTGGACACTCTGGGTGGAGGGAGCGAGCTGGGCTGGTGCAGACATCCCCAGGAGGAGGAGTGGGTAGACGGAGAGGCCCTCCCTGTTCGGTTTCAAGAGGGCTTCTCCCCGATGGCCCCCTTGGGCCCTCTTCCTAGTTTTCCTGGCAGACTCCTGTCCCCCATTGGACCCTGTGTTTTCCGTAGGACCTTTCAAAAGGATTTCTCTCTCCCCATTCACCGTCCCCTGGACTCTCACCCTGTTAGTGCCACACAGGAGACACCAGGACCTGATGCTCTGAGCACTTACTTACCTGCGTCTCTTGCTGAATCAAGAGTAACCTCCTCAAGGACAAGGACCCTATCTATTCCTAGCACCCAGCACAGCACCTAGCCCTGGCAGGTGTTTGATGAATGAATATCTGATGGAAGTAAAAGCATTTCTTTTTTCTCCCAAACAATTAAAAACCAGCTGTGTCTACCGCTGCTGGTACCAGGAGAAGGGGTCATGATGAACAGGAACCAAGACGAGGCTAGTTCCCATGGCCTAGTCTACCCGTGACAGGGCACTGGTCATTCTGTTTCTTCTCTATCACATGAGCGTGCAACACAGTTACTATGAAAATGTGACCTTGAAGCTCTAAGCAACCAACTTAGACACCTCGGCTTTACTTAGTTGATTGTTGGTCTTGTTCTTGGTGTTTTTTTGATTTAGCCACATTATCATTCTTTGATTTAGGAATTTTATCCCTAATCCACACTATGTAACAGGTCAGGGGTCAAATGTGGGGGACACCATGAGACATGTAGGATGATATCATACCAAAGGCGCTGCTTGCTGCTCAGGCGCCCGGATGAAACCTGGAGAGGAACACGGAAGAGGGAAGGTGCACAGGAAAGAGGTGGGGAATATTTTCTAAGAAAGACCCATGTGCCCTCTAAGCTTCCCTGGAAGAGCTACAGAGGCGGTCAGGTGGGTGGGGAGAGGTGGATAAAAAGGCTGGTGATGGATAAACGCAGGTTGGGCCATTAATGTTTTCTTGGTGGCACGGGGTTTGGTGCCTCGTGGTTTTGGAGAACTAGCCCAAAGCAACCTACAGAAAGCCCACCCCAACTATATTCAGCTTCTTCATGAGTTATGTGCACTGTCTCCTTAGCTGGACCTGGGGGACGGGCCACAGTGGAAACCTACCCTCTCCTGGGGAGCCCCTGCTTGATGGTGGGAAGCACCAGAGTCTCTCAGATCGTTTGTGCCTTCCAGGAGGCAGGTCCCTCTCTGAGCCAGCCCCTGGGTACCCTCAGATACACAGGGTACAAACCGACTCCTCTTCAAAGTGCACACTTGTGTGTGTGTGTGCACGTGTGTGTGTATGTGTGTTTGCACGTGTGTGCGCGCTTGTGTGTGTGCGCGCGTGTGTGTGTGCACGTGTGTGTATGTGTGTGCACGTGTGTGTATGTGTGTGTGCACGTGTGTGTATTTGTATGTGCACGCGTGTGTATTTGTGTGTGCACGTGTGTGTGTATTTGTGTGTGCACGTGTGTGTGTGCACGTGTGTGTATGTGTGTGTGCACGTGTGTGTGTGTTTGCACATGTGTGTATGTGTGTGCGCGCGCTTGTGTGTGTGCACGTGTGTGTGCGCACGCGCTTGTGTGTGCGCACATGTGTGTGTATGTGTGTGTGCACGTGTGTGTGTGTTTGCACATGTGTGTGTATGTGTGTGTGCGTGCTTGTGTGTGTGCACGTGTGTGTGTGTGCGCGCTTGTGTGTGTGCACGTGTGTGTATGTGTGTGCACGTGTGTGTGCACGTGTGTATGTGTGTGTGCACGTGTGTGTATGTGTGTGCACGTGTGTGT